TACATACAAGGGAGTTATTAAGAACATCAAAAGTATTTGGAAATTCTTTTTGACGAGTATATGGAGTGACTCGTTTTAGTTTAGGCGACATATTTGTAACGAAAGATAAAAAAAAGATAGATTGAGATCTTTTTTTATAATCAATAGCCAATTATATTTTTTTTCGATTTGGTTTATTTAGCCAATAATATTCTTTCCATGTGAAATATTATAAAAAAAATTTTTATTTTAAAAAATTTCGATTTAAGCCAAATCTTTCGATTTATTTTAAAAAATTATTTTCGAAAATTTTACGGGTCCCTGCTTTTAGTATTGATTATCTTAATATCTAAGTTGAGAGGATTGTGATAATTAATTCTACTTATCAGAGTTTATAACCTTAAGATATTCTCTAAATATTACAGATATTTAAATTAATTTTTCAATTATATATTTTAAAATTTAAGATTTATTTAATGACAAACTTAATGCTAATTAATAATTCTAAATGAGAAATAAAAAAGTACTTTTATTAATTTTAATTGATTTTTTTATTTATAACTTAAAATGCATAAAAGAATTCTAAAACTTAAATAAAAGTTAATTTATAATTTAAGTAAAAAGTTAATCTATCTGTAATATTATAATTAACTAGATAAAATATTTTAATAAAATAAAGATGATAATGTAAAATAAATAATTTAAATAATATAAGTGATAAAATAAATTAAAAGAATTATATAAACTAAAGAAATCACAGATTTAGCAAAAATAAAAAAAAACAGGTTATATAGAATTTATATAAAACAGAAATTACTGTTAATCATTATTATTAGACGCAGTTAAGATCAGCAAATTTTGATTATATAGTCAAAAATAACTTATCTAGCTTGCTATCTATCGTATTTTATAAAATAACTCTATATAAGATGATCGTCGCGTATGTGACAAATCGAGATATCCTCTATGCTCGAATATCTAGCTATCCGAAATTAAGTTCTAATTATAAATTTTTTCTTTGCGAAAATATAAATTCTCTCCCTCACCATTTAGCGTAAGAGAAAAACTCAAAAATGTCTCAAAAAATTTCACAGCTTAAATATCAAATAAACATACATAATTCTCTTGAAATTAAAGAGAATTTTTTCAGTCCTATTTTTAGCACAAGTAATAATATGTTTTGGCAATTAGCGTTTTTTCCGGAAAACTTTGGATTGTTCCTTTCGCCAGTTATATGCCCGGACGAAATAGTATGGGGAGAACGGTCAAAATCAAATTTCACGTTATATATAAAGGAAATTAAGGAAGATATACGAAACGACATTTATTCTAATACGTTTACTGTGCCTTCCGACGCTAACATTTCAGATGGTAAAGTATGCTAGTTGAGATAAATAATAATTGGCGCATTAACTTTAAGAAAGTTTACTCTTTTAATTAAAAAATTGTTGATTTTAGGCTATGGAATCGATAAAATCGATAGAACATTATTTGTAAATGGAGAATTAGAAATTGGAGTTATATTCAATAATATTGAAGTTGAAGAATGTAATAAAAGAAAAAAATATGATTATCCTACACCATCGGGACTTATCGAAGCATGGAAGGAACAATTAATGGAAAATCCATCAGATGACGTAGAATTTAATGTGGAGGGTGAAAAATTTTACGTATGTAGTTCAATCCTTTCCAAAAGATCCAAATATTTTGCAAAAATTTTTTCCGGTAATTGGGCAGAAACTGTTGAGAATGTTACAAATAATATAAATGATATCCATTTCGAAAGTAGTCCCGAGCAGCATAATAAAGTTAAATATCGAATTGATTTTCCCGAGGGTCAATGTATATTTTCGATAATAATGGAATATCTTTATACGAATCAAGTTAAATGGAAAAATAATAATAATCAATCTATAACCGTAAAATTGTTTCGCCTGGCGGATAAGTACCTTTTATCAGATCTTCGAAATCGAGCAAAATTTAGGATATATGCTGAATTAGGGATTTCAAACGTGTGTGAAATCTTATTCGGTCTAGTTCCTAAGTACGAAGATTTGAAAGGACCCGTCTTAAAATTTATGGCGAGACATTTTGAAGAAGTCAGTCAATCGGAAGAATTCAACGACATCTTAAAAAATTTACCAAAATATCCATACTTTTCTGATATTTATCCTGAAGTACTAAATGAGCACTTTAAATTTCAAAATACAAACGCTGAAACAAAAAATATTTATTAAATTATTGGTTTATTTGTTTGTTTTTGTTCGTAATCTATTATTTAGTTATGTATATTAAAGAAACATTGTAATTAAGATTTTAAAATAATTTACGGCAGATATGTAAAAAAAAAAAAAAAAATATGAATTTTTATCTATTATACAAGATTCTTTTTTTTTTTTTTGTTTGTTGTCGTTATTTGTCGGTAATAAAATGATTAGATTTTTTACAAAATATAAAAATCTTAAATCTTAGAATTTGAAATATTCATTTTCTTTAAACCCTATTTTCTTCAAATTTGGAATACAAGCGAATTCTATCATAGGAGGGGGTCCACACATTAATACAATGGTTTGTGAATTTGATGATGGGAGCGGGAGATTTTCTCGAATCATCTCTTCCGTGACGAATCCAGATCCGAGTTGCCAATTCTTTGGGGGTATGTCTAACGTATAATAAACCTTAAATCGTGGATTACATTTAGCAAGTTCATCTAATTCATCTCTTAATAAAATATCATTCTCCGTACGATTCGCATATATTAAAGATAACTCTAAAAGATCCTCGGAATCATTTAAAACTGATTGGATTATTTGATACATTGGAGTTATACCAGAACCTCCCGCCATCATTCCTATTCGCTTGCATTTATGTAACGATGCGCTTGTTCCATTCTTCACTTGATATTGACCACGACCAAAATAGATAAAAGATCCAAGCGGACCTTTTACATCAATCCTGTCACCAATATTGAGTGATTCAAGATGTTGAGTCAAAAGTCCTCCGTTAGGAAACTTGGGATGTACATTCTTAAAATATACTTTGATTAAAAGGTCGAAATAACCTGGTGGGGCATATGGAGTTGTGACAGGTGTGTATGCGCGGATGATCGCTTGATTATTTATTGAAGCTCGAATGAACATATGATTGCCTGCTGGTAGGCCAAGTGAATGTTTATCTGATTGAAGAGCGAAACGGAATATACGAGTATCGTGACTTATAACCTCCTTTTTTATAAGTGGACACGAGAACCATACTTTAGGATTTAGCGCCAAGAGAGAATCTCCATTGGCTTGCGCAGCTGATTGCGGTGGATTTATTATCGATTTTGGTATTGCGATCGATGGATTCGAAACTGATGATGCAGCGGAACCTTCTACCAAATCACCAATATAATAATCATCCAACATCTTTTTTGCATTACTAGAATGAATTGCATAGAATTCATCTGTACAATCCGTCCCGGCGTTAATTAGGATACTATCAGCACCTACAAGAATTATTATAAAATATCATTATTATTTTTATTAAAAATTAAATTTTTTTTTTTTAAAAAAGAAAAAATAATTACCTCCAGGATGATCATCAAGGAATTTTGTACAATCATAAACCTTCTTGTCAATCACGATCCAACAAGCTTTTTCGTTATCGTTTTTTCCTACTTGCTCCATTGTAATGGGCTTTTTAGTTATTCCATTAGCTACATCTGGTTTTTTTGCGGGTTCAACCGCAGTAACCGGTTGTACTTGATTCATCATCCAACCACCTGGGTTATTACCAGCTTGAGTTGGATGCTCAAATCTCAAGGCGACTTCCTTCCCATATGTTACGGTATTGATCTTTACTTTAAAGTGACAGTTATTCATCATTCCCATGACGTTCCAAGTAAGATTTTCCGGTTGTGTGTTTTGTGCGGAATCCCACGCTCTAACTTTAATCTCTGGGCAACGAATTAATGAGTAAATCGGAACATTTAATGACCAGAAAGACCAACACCAATGTTGACGAATCGGATTGTGCGGGCGTTTCAAAACATCAGGATGTCTGGTTTCTGGGAAATCCAAATTGGTAAGTAACCAAGTTTTTCCATCGTCTAAAGTAATCTCCACGCGAATGACTTTGCGACCGCCTCCGGTATAAGCGTAACCCTTAAGTGTGTATTCAGCATTACTAACAAAGCTTGATAAAGGGATGTGCTCGTCGTGTGCCGGAGAGGTTATGGCAGAATTGACATTGTATTCATTGATAATATAATCGGGAACGTACCACCAATTTTCTTTGTTGGCGCGTTCAAAATCAACATTTGGTGGCAAAACCCGATTATCGTGATAATGATAATGATTATCAGATTCCTTATTTGTCACGGTGATCTTTGTGAGCCACTTAACCATACGACCTCCGATGACTCCCGGTATGATAACGCGAATTGGATATCCGTGATCGGGTGTTAACCTTTCACCATTCATTTCGTAGGCCAAGAGAACATCCTTGGCATCATTCATTGACCATTCTAAAGTTAAACTCGTGCCATAGTTACCATTTGGTAATTTATCCGCCCCGACAAAGCAAACGTGACGAGGTTCTTCATAATCAATATCAAGACTACATCCTGCCATCTTCAAAACGTGTCGTAACGAAACGCCTCGCCAAACCGCAGTACTTAAAGCGCTAGTGCCCCAATTAAATCCTTTTGATTGTTTGAACATGTTTTGCTCCTTACGACGATTCCCGGCACAAACCAACGTAATGGGAAATTCGCGATATGGCAACTTTACTATCTCATTCATGGATAAATTAAGAGGTTTTGTTACAAGCCTAAAAAATAATTGGTGAGAATAAATGTTACACGAAATGCTAACGTAACGTGGCAATCAATTAAAGAAAAACAAGCTTACCCGTCAACGATTAATCGATGGGTGTCCCAATCAATTTTTGGAACGGGACCATGATTTCTCACGTAATGTAAAGGTGTAGGAGTTATGAATCCTTTCTCCATTAACAACGGAAGGGGTGGTTCGCTATTAAAAGGATGTTTTCCTGTTAATCGTATAAGTTCTGGATGTCTTGGAATCCAATCATCAGGAGTTCCAACATCTCGAGGATCAATACTTATTTCGTTGGCTTTAACATCTTTCGTCGGTACTAGAGCCGATTCTTTTTCTTTTATTAATGATTGTATAGTCGTAACATGGGAAATTTTTTCTTTAGTATATTGAAAGGGGTTTTCGGATGTTGCAACGGAAGTCATTGTAAATGTAAATGTAAATGTAAATAAATGCAAATGATAATTTTGACGATAAATGATGATTCAAAATAAAATTTTCTAAAAATCATTTTTAATGAACGTAGTTTTGCTTTTATAGAAATAAATTATTAACTTTATAACCAAAAACAAAAAATTTATACGGGCATGCTGTACAATCACGTTTAATCGATCAGCGCCGAATTCTTATCTTATCTGCAGAAAAAATATTATATTATCTAGCAGAAAAGTAATTATTTTTCGAACAGATAACAACCTATCTGATACATGCCTTTAAATTTAATACCTTAAAAAGAGATTTGATCTAATTGTTTTGAGTTAAACGTGTCTAAAGCAATAGATAATCAAATATGGTTAAGATCATAATTTTTTTTTTTTTTGTATGAATGCGTTGAACATGATAATTTTTTCGAATTCTAGAACCTTATCTAATAAATCTTCAATTTTTTTTTTTTTATCCTTTTACAGCCGATATTTATTTGATTATTTGACTTTTTTTTTTTTAAAAATAAAAAAAAAAACTCGATACGACAATATATACCATTTAGCATTTACAAAATATGATACATGGTACAAAACTAAAATTTTTTTTTCCTCTCTTTTTTTTGAATTGATCATTTAATTTTTCCAAAGTAAAACAAATCCTACACTAGTTTCGGAGAACGGACGGATTTTAAAGATAAAATAATATACAAATGACTCGTGATTAATTATTTAAGGGCGGAAATATTCGGACAGATATCGTTGTGATATGCTATAATCTCCCTATCTTGCATTTTAACGAACTGAACATGAAATCGTAGCACAAGTGTTTTTATTTTTATGCAGAAGTAAAAATGGCGCAAACCGTCAAATTTTTCAATGAACGATATAACTTTTATAGAAATTCCTTAATTAGATTGAGGCTATTAAAAAACATATTACACTCTCAGCATTTTTTTTTATATTCATTTTTTTTTTATACGAATGTTCATTACCAAAACAAATCAGCATTCCGTAGATTGCATATGATAATCCATAATAAACGGAAAAAAAAAATTTGATATTCTATTCTTATCACATACTTTTGGATAAAAAAATTAAGATAAGCATTGCGTGTAACATTTCATATTTTACTATCTGTGTATCTGTGTTTGCAATTAAGAACTCATGGAGGTTCAAAGATACCTAGGACGCGTGTCAAAGATAACATAACTTTCACAAAGTTCACTAATTTTAGTAATCTCCCGCGTTACCTATTAGAAAACTGGACTTTGAATACCCTTCAACTAAATAAATAAAGGCAACACGTAAGACATAAAAGGCCATCGAAGTTTTTTTTAAAAAAAAAAAAATAATAAATAAATTAAGTTCTTCTCACGTCAAAATTCAGTCTCTCGCGCAGTCGAAAGAAAATTTCATCTTTTGAATTTAAAATATGGATGAATGTCATTAGTTTATTTAATTTATCGTGTAAGATGTTAAAGATGGATATATATAAAAAAAACACGACATATTTGTTTACCTATTTTTTCTCCTATATTTTTTTTGTTTGAGTTTCAAATATAATTTATTGAATCAAACTTCAAAGAAATCTTGAAAACGAGTGGACTTATGGGATGTCATCAAAATAAATTATTTCAAAATGACAGCAAAATGAAATATTTCTGCGGCATTGTTGTACCTGACCACATTAGCTAAAGTAACGGGGGATCCCGGTTGGTGATAAAAAAAAATGATAGAAGTGACAATTTCAAAAAAAAAAAAAAAAAATTTTTTCATCTACAATAATATTGTTCTTACTATTTAAAGTTTTTATGTGGTGTTCGAAATAAACCTACCAAATCTGTGTTTTACCCCTAAAATTTCGGAGAAGGCGCAAGATAAGATTTTTTTTTTTTTTTTTTTTTTTTTGTTCTTCCACTATAATCGCAATCAGATCGCTTTGATTGGTTTAAAAAATTATTTACTTCTATATCCAGGAAAGGAAAAATGTAATATTTACACAATTCAAAAGAAAATTTTTTTTTTTATATACTTGTATTGCTAAATAAATTTTTTTTTTTTTTGCCGTAATTCAAAAAAAAATCTTTAAAAGAGGCCGTTTTTGGCAGCATTTTAAAAATCGCTTTTGCCTTTACTCTTGAAAAGAAAAAGCAAAGACCCTTTTTTCTAAAAAAAAAAAAGAATTCTAATTTTTAACGAAAAAAAAAAATAATCTTCAAATATCATTTTCTCATCAAACAATTATCATCATGGTTAAATTACTTGCAAATCCACTTCCCATTGATCCTGTGACCCAAAAAGCAGATGCAATTAACATTTTTAGCGTTCAAAGACCTTACATGAGAGCATTTCATCTTTCATGGTTTTCTTTCCTAACCGCTTTTACAGGCTGGTTCGCTATTGCACCAATAATGCCCGCAATCAAGAAAGATCTCAACCTAACGCCATCACAAGTTGGAGATAGTAATCTCACCTCAATAGCATCTACAATTATCTTTCGTGTGATTATTGGACCATTATGTGATCGTTTTGGACCCAAACGAGTAATGACCGTTTTACTTGCGGCCGGGGCCATTCCAGTCGGTCTTAGCGGTTTAGCCAATAATGCTTCTGAATTCATTACACTCCGATTCTTCATCGGTATCATTGGGGCCACTTTCGTACCATGTCAATTTTGGACCACCCAAATGTTTAGCAGTTCCGTGGTTGGAAGTGCCAACGCTTTAGTAGGAGGGTGGGGAAATATGGGAGCCGGAGTAACTTACGTTATAATGCCTTTTGTGCTTGAAGGAATTTTAAGTAGCGGAGTGAGTGACCACAATGCTTGGAGAATTGCTTTGGTTGTTCCAGCCGGACTTTGTCTCGTTGTAGGATTAATGTGCTTATTACTTTCCGACGATTGCCCTCAAGGGGACTGGTCTCGACGCGGTCTTTCCATTGAACAGTCCACTGATGTTGAAGCTCATGAAGTTTTTCATGATGTTTCGGAAAAGAAAAACGCAAATAAAGTTGAAAAAAAAGAAAATGATGCCGAAAGCACTTATTCAGATACCAACGCCCCAGCACAAAAATCGACAAGACCAACTATTGGAATGTTTTTCTTGGCGCTTAAAAATCCAAATGTCATAATTATGATGTTTATGTACGCTTGTTCTTTTGGTATTGAACTTGCCGTCGACAATGTTATTGGATATTTCTTTTATGAACATTTTAATCTCTCACTAAAAATGGCTAGTTTAATTGGATCATTATTTGGTTTGATGAATCTTTTCTCTCGTGCCACTGGAGGTTTCTTGTCCGATTACTTTTACAAAAGATCGGGTATTCGAGGTCGATTACTCGTTCATTTTTTTATCATTTTTTTTAATGGAATATTCTTGATCATTTTTCACTTTACTTTAACGGGCTTGACACAATCTGTTGTCATCTTGATTATCTTCAGTTATTTCACTCAGGTATTTTATTTTAATTTAATTCAACTTTTCTTCCATTTTTTTTTTTTTATAATTTCGACTAAACTTTTCTATTCATTACTTTTAGGCTTGTTGCGGCTCAGTTTTTGGAATTGTACCATTTGTTGACCCAACCATTGTAGGAGCCATATCAGGATTGGTTGGAGCTGGTGGAAACATTGGTGGTTTGATATTTACTGGTGTATTCAAAGCTTATGCTCATGATACGCCCGCCGCATTTTTGGTTTTAGGAGGTGTGACAATGTGTGTGTCACTTATGACCTTTTTGATAAAAATTGATGGACGCATGTTACTTGAAATTAGACGAAAATAATTTAATACGGACTATTGTTATTGACCTTTTCGTCATAACCCGACTTTTTTTTTTTTTTTTTTTGTATAAACATCACACGAAAAAAAAAAATTCATTTGTACAATAATAAAACCTTATACATAATTTATTTTTTATTTTTAAATTAGAAAAAAAAAATATTTGTAACGAACTTCAAAAAAAAAAGAAAAAAAAAAAAAATTTATATATATAAAAAAATAAATAAAAACAATTTTCAAAAAGAAAAAAAATTTTTTTTTGTCATGTGAGGTTTCTCACGGATTAAATACGGTTAATTAAAAATTGAGTAAACGATTTCGGATTTCGGATATATTTGTTGTGATACACAAAAGTTGTTGATTTGTTTATTAAAACTTTGATATTTCGTAGTTATATAGTAATATAACTATGGAGGATAGATTAGTTTGTTTTTCTTAAATTGTATTTTTGATTAATTAATAAAGTGACTGGCCAGTGCCACATCGTTAAAAAAAAAAAAAATAAAATAAAAATATTTAATAGTTATATACCGTGAGAAATTTTGACTTTTCGAAATTAAAAAATTTTCGAGAACTTTAAGCATTTGAACTGAAAAAGCATATGATATCACCTCCTTTTTTACATAAAAAAATTAAAGATTTGTTTTATAACGATGATGATATCTTTATAACGAGACCATTATTAATTAACACGTGAGCAATTTTCTCCGAGTCGAATAAATGTAAAAGGATCAAAGTTCAAAGATAACAAATTAATAAAATCAAATAATAAGATAAGATAATGGCTCAAACGTACAAAAAAGGTACCGGGCACCGTGGGGGAATATTGAGCATGATCGAAGAATCATTATGATAATATTATCTTACTTATCTTATGCACGTGTAAACGATCAGTTTCATGTTTTATCAGTATCATGATTTTGAATTGATAAGATATAACTCAGGACTTTACCTTACTGGAGTTTTCCGTGCTGGGAATAGTTTTTAAAATAATTTTCAAGGATTTTTACATCGTTCAATTTGAGGTGGGGTCTTCGTTTAAATCCGCGTGTAAAAACATTGGATCGTGATAATTCTCGTAGCACATTAAGTTTGACAAGCTTAAATTTGATTATATAATCTTTTGGAGACCGTTTAAATGACGTAGGCAGCGTAGCGAAAAATTGATGTTGCGCTTCGCGCGATAAATGCAAAGCTACGGCACAAAAGTTTAGCAGCAAGGCAAAGCTCATAAACCTCTAAACCTCAAGGCTTTGTGCAACACAAGAGACATTATATTTCTTTCCATTGTCATAATCTTATCTCGAAACTTTTTTTTCCTTATCTCTGAAATGAATAAAAAGAACAAGTTGTCCAAAAATGGGTATGATTAAACGGTTATCAACATATGCTACATATGTCAATGCATAAGTCTGCCTTTAACAGGATAGATAAGCATTTTCATACCTATCTGTTGATAAGGAAATTTATTGTTTATTTATTTGTAACCAGATTTACCTTGTTTATAACACGAAAAAAAAAAAAAAAATTTTTTTTTGATCTTTTCCAAAATAAGTTTTTATTAGTTTTGATAACGAATCCGAGATATTCCATTTACCTAATTATTCCATATTTAAATTCCTTTTTTTTTAATAATGATACAAAGGTAGATAAGGAAATAAATTGATGATTTAATAAGTGGTACCAAACCAAAAATTGACAGGTGGATTATGTAAATGATACGATAACGTATAAATATGTAGTCCAATTAAAATAGTGATATTTGAAAGAACATTCTTATTCAGATCGTCATGATTTTGCTTCCAAGTATTTATTATATTGTTCGTTGTTCTTTCGGCTGATAGACCGTATCTACTAAAACCTCGACTATGGTCGATCAAAATCGGACTTTTGATTATCATAAAGATAAGAATATTATTCGTGATAAGCCTAAATAGTTTCTTTTGTTGGGTTGGGCGTTGATTATTATATTTGTTGTCATGTGACATTATATATTTGAAACCTTTACCAATCGAAACCGCGTTTCCTTTGGCGGGGGAAAAGAGAAAAGAAAAAAAAAAAAAAAAAAGAATGATTTTATAATATATATAAAATTTGTTGGATCCGACAAAGTATCATCCTGCGAAAGATCAAACACACCATGTAATGCATCTACTTTATAAATTCACCTCTCACGTCAAACATAATAATAATAATAATAAATACAAGGATCTGAAAAAAATAAATGCACGATCAGACAAAATAAAAACCCCGAGTTGGGATATCTCTTCTGTAGTGATAAGAAAATAATAATACAAACTTTATCTTTCATTAATCACATTATCAACTTCATCAACATTATCAGATTCTTTGTAAAATGTTTATATATATACATTGTATATCTTTTGTATATCAAAGTACAAAAGAACTAATAACTGAGGAGATATGATAATCTGTTCTCACAAAGAAAATCTAATGTTTATACAAAGATGCAAAACCATGCATTCATATCCATTCAATTTCATACGAGAAAGAACTGAGTCAGTATGTTATCATTAGTATTCGGCAAGATAATGCGTGAAATTTTTCCATTCCTTATCTCACTTTTAATGGAATGTGATATTTCGGTTACACGAGATTAAGATACAGTGCTGCGCCTTTGAATTTTCAACGCGAAACATTTAATATATGCATTTTTATAATAATTTTGTTATCTTTTATGAAGATAAGGCAAAGCGAATATTCATGTCGTGTAATTAGAAACGTAATTTGTTCATATTCAAGTTTCAATGCTGCGTCCGTGCCCAATATAATGATATGATAATTATTATGTCACGTTGATTGATTTGTCATTTCCATAGGTTAACTTTTATAACACCAATAATGTTCTTACCAAAAGTATCACGATTATTTGCAACGCGCTTTCTCTTTAAAATATATATCATTATCATTATTATTTTTTACCAAGGGCTAAGAACTTATTTTTATTAAATTGATCAATTAATCGTAATGATCTATCTTCAATAAAATTAATAATTTGAAAAAAGAATTCGAAAAAAATTATAATTTTCTCTTTTATTCTTTTTCTTATATACACATATATATTGGAACCATAGTGTACTTACGTAAATTTATGCCAATATTTTAATCCAGTGGTCCGCAAATAAATATTTCTCCACTTTCTTACATATACAATATCTTTTCTATTCTAAATTGACAATGGTTTTTGAATGATTCTTTCTTTCTAAATATCGGTTCGATTTCCTTTCGTTTGTTTCAAAAGGCATAAATAAAATCCTTCTTAAACCTTTAAGTTAGAAATTTTGTTGAAAAGCATTTCGATGCAATAATCAATTGTGCTCTATAAATTTATTGAAAAATTGATGTCATTCAACGTATTTTTTAAATATATGTTGATATTTTTGCAAAACATCGGATATTTTTCATCTAATGAGGTAATTTTTTTTATAATCATATCTTTTTTCTTTTTTCAATTATCTTAGTTTTGTCAACGCGACAACTTGAAAAGTGTTTAGTAATAAATTAATTATTCATTAGTAACTTCCATCCACCAACAATTATTAAAATATATACAAAGATGTCCATGTTCTAGATGTAGGAGTGCAATTATTATATTAATGATCTATTTGGGAAAATCTCGTGCCTAATCAATTTAAATTTTATACGTGTTTAAGTTAGTTTAAGTTGGATTAAATTGTCTTGCTGGAAACGGTGTTAGAAGAACGTTTCCATTAAAATTTTATTTAATCGCAGTTTTAGACATGATGTTTTATTTTATTAGACCACTGTGACGTAAGATAGTTCACACATTGACAATTAAAGTCGTTGTTTTTGAATCCAAGAGCGGATCAACTATTTTCTTACCTCGGCTAAGGAAAATCCGGTGATGAACAGTCCGGAAAAGAAATGGATGATCCTTCAAGCTGACGAGATTAAGTTCCACAATTAAAGACTTGTAGATGTGGACAAGACATACGCAAGTAGACAACATACAAGGAGGAAAAGTAATTAATATATTTGCATTGACCATTGTAAATATACTTTAATTTTTTTTTACAAATATCATATTTTTTCTGAAACTAGGTTATTTCCGTACAAATGATAGTCGAAAAAGTTCGTATAAATAAATAGCCGCACATCTTTACATCTTTTTACTCTCTTTTTCTTATTCTTTTACTTCAACTAGTTTACTTAGGTCAAAAGCTTTTGATTACAAAACTTGCAATACTTATTTTACTTTTTACATTGTAGTATTTATTTATATGTGCTGGGAAAAAGGGACCAAAATGTAAATTTCGATCGAAATTATTTGAAATAAATGTCAAAGATCCAACTTTCATGATTAAAATTTTACTCGATCATTATGTTTTATAGAATATATTTACGAAATTTATGAATGAAAACCTGCGGAATTTATGGATCACATTTTATTAATTAAGAAATTAAATCACGTGAAATTTTCTCATCATTATTTGACTTTAACACCACAAATGCACGTTCGTTCCTTGGGCCTGCTAGATACTAACTTACTGATAAAGGTCGAATCCAGAAACATAAGCAATACAATAATTTAACAGGCAAATGTTCATAAGCTAGGTTTTTCATAAATATAGCGTAGAATTTATTTTTATTATAAAATTAGAAGTCTATTTCGTTTTCAAAGGCCAATAATGGGAAACAAGTCGCGTGAAGTTTTTTTTTTAAAAAAATACAGTTCAAAACATTACCTTTTAATAGTAAGGAATTTTATCATAATCATAGATCTATTATAACGCAAATAGCTTGGTATTTTTTTAAATTTTTTTTTTAATTTTAGTTAGGATACATTATAAAGTTTGTCATTAAATTTATCTTATTTTTAAATAAACCATATATTAATATTATTTGATTATAAATCTAAAAGAATTATAAAAGCTAAAAATAATAGAATATTCAAGATTTACTTAATTACAATTTAACTTGATTTTTTTCTTTTTTATTAAAAATATAAATATAATAAAATAT